CTTTAATTTATAATTTTATCAGTCGTTTGCCACACACACACATCGTCAGAGAAAATCTATTTAGCTTTTCGGAAAGCCCATTGAAAACGTCATGTTTGCAAGTGCAAGTGTCACACTTTTCCGACTGGCCACACAGAGTGCTGCATCCATCAGATACAATATCTAGATTTTACCTGAGCCCGTTGGTGCGCGCGCTTTAAATTTGGGCGCAAACATTGTTGTGTTTTGTGTGTGCTCTGCAAAAATGTTGCATATGAATAATAAATTGATACGGGTTAAGCACTTGCAATAAGCTGCACTTCACTTTATCGGAAAACACTTTGACACACTTTTCATTCAGGGCTGGGCACTGCACAACAAACAATCGAAAATGAAAAGCGCGCTGAGCAAATTGCTTGGAAAAACGCTCTACTAACCCTGCCCCATATTTTTGTTTTCGCTCGAACTCAATTTTTGTGATGTGTGCAAGTGGAAATATAGAAAAGCTGCCGCTGCTTCAGACGCAATATATATTCTATGCGGATATATATATATATATATATATATATATATATGTTGCTTTTCTTTTTGTTTTATTTTTCACGCGCCTTCGCGTTGCGCACACGACTTAAACACGACGACGACTACGCCAGGCGAAAATCTTGTACAAGTCGCTTGGATTTTCTTTCGACAAACGAAACTCAATTTGTGTGAGCGCACAGCGAAAATAAGAAGAACAACAAATTCGTTGAATGTTCCCTCAACAAATTTGATTTTCCATTTTCCTTTTGGGCCAACGCAGCATAAACAAAAATGTTGATGCTTGCGTAAACAGAGACAGGCAAGTGGAAAAAGCGGCCAAAAAACTGCTTAACCCCAGAGCGCAAAGAGCAGAAAGAGCAGCAGGGAGAGTGGGAGAGAGAGGGAGAGTGGGGGAGAGTGAAAGATCGTCTCATGTAGTGGGCCATAAATTTGTTGAACGACGCCTAGATGAAGATACATTTTCACGCAATGGCCAAAATCGCTCGCGCGTTGCACATGTCGTATACACAATATTTCGTCTTTCAAATCTAGCAAAAATGATTGCATACTTTACGGCGGCAGGTGCAAAATAATTATAAAAATAAAAATGGCATAATTGTGAGTGTTTGTGAGTGTGTGAATGTGAGTATATTGAACGAATTATGAAAACGAGCACAGCCACATTCAAATGAACTACAATTCTGGCCAATTAGCTGCCAGCTGTGCTCCTTTTCAAGTGGACCAAAAAAGCGGCCCACAGACATTTAGAGGGCAGACATAAACACATAGGTTGTTGGGTGGTGGGACGGGAGTATATACAAAAAAAAAAGGGGTGGGGACACTTTGACCGACCGTTGGCATAGAGAAAGCCCTTGGCCAGCTGCAGCTCATTGTCAATCTCCTTGAGCAGATCGCTCTCGGACCAGCTGCGTCGCTGGCGCTGTCGCTGCAGCTGCTGCGGCGATAGCAGAAACCGCGTCTGCTTCTGTGGGCGTAGACGTTGCTTCGCTGCCATCGCTGGCGTCGGCGTCGACGTTGACGTTGACGTTGGCGTCGCTGTCTGTAGCTGCCGTTGGTGTTGCTGCTGCTGGTGCGGACGCTCGCTTTTAATTGCTTGGGCTATCAAAATTGTTGGCATTCGTTTAGTTTTTTCTCTCGGCTAGACGCATGCCACATGCTGCACTTAGTCTAAGGAACCCTGTGCTCAATTGTCTCTCTGCAACAACAACAACAAACAAAACAAAACAAACGAATCGCTTGTTCGTTTTGTCGCTTCCCCTTCCCCTTCCCCCTTTCCCCTTTTTATGCCAATTGAATGGAATTAATTAAAATTTCCGCTTAATCGCGATTCGGTCCCCCCGCTGTGCCCCCTTTGGCAATGCAATTGCTTGCAGCGCCCCAGATAAGCCGACGCAATCGGAACGGGCGCAGCGTGAACCGCGGGGTATTGAGGCACTTATAGCTCGAGGGTTTTGTAATTTAAATTGGGGGGACACTTGAGCGCAGAGTTGCAAAAACTGAAATCAGCAAAAAACAACTTAATATTTATTGTTATGAGCATGTAAAAGACTTTTGCTAATGACCCTCGTTTATATAGACACTTCGTAAATACTATATAATATGATATATGCACGTTCGTATTGTGGGAAAATAAACTTATTAAAAATTAGTGGCATCAATTTTAAATATTCTACCAAAATTTTATTTCCCAAATATTTTGTGGAAATCTTTCTCATAAATTTATGTCATTGAAAATTGTTCTAGCTGAATGTGACACTTGGCCATAGAAATACTCTTTAGGAAGGGTAAGGCGTGAAGAAATTGAATGATATATCATTAATAAAAGCGAGAGCAGAACTGAGAAGAAATTTAAATTTAAATTAAGCGGTAACAGCTGTAATTAAAAAGCTTTTATTGGGCTTTAGAGAAGTTGAAATTCTAAAATTGTTATAGGGGTAGCTACTAAGTGTAGCTTAAAGCTTTTATGAGATATAATTTATTATGTTAGTTCTTTTAAATGCTTTCTTTTGAAGGTATATCAGGGAAAATAATGTTACTGTTTATCAAAAAGATAACATAAGCTACTTAACAAGGCTTTAAGCTTCTGCTAAAGGGAAAGAAAAGGTGCTTTCAAAAGCAGCTTTAAATGTAGCATGAATGAATGATTCTTGCTAACTTACTAGAGCTTTACGCTTACAGAAAATATAAACTAAAAGAGCGCAGCTTTCATGTGCTTTTAAGGCTTTTAGATAAAAGTATAAGCCGTAAATTAAAAATAGGTACACATAATTCAAAATGAATGCCACTAAATTGTATAAGTTATAAATTTTAGAAATGTATCTGGATTAGTTAAATGAGCCTTAAATTATGAGCAATGCATGATTAATTATAATTAGTTACTTGCGATCAATGTATATCTAGGACATTCACAGGATTAGTCAGTCGGTCAAGCAATACATCATTTCAAAGCGCTAGCATAAAACAAATCTCTCTGTGACACAGCTTACGACTAGATCAAATCAAATAGGTCAACGGATATATATATATATATTTATATATGTGGGGCATGCGTACAAAATAATAAAGACTAAATAACAATTGAGTTTGTTAATCAATTTATCGTTTATTAAACATTCAACAACACTATATTGGATTTATTTGTATTAATTTCCAAAGAACATTTAACTAATTTTCACAAATATAGTTTTCAATTTTATTATTATTATTTTTTTTTTTTTTTGGTTTCGTTTATTATTAAACATTTGCCTAGGACAAAAACATAATTTCATTTTTCATTTGGTTAAAAGTAGGCTGCATGCTGCTGGAAGGCTTTTCGGGGTAGCTGAGGGGGGATATATAAATTGTTTAAAGCGTTTCTGGCGGTTCCATTAACAAAGGTTTCTGGGCGTGCACATAGAGTATTTTTTGCATCCTATATATATTCAGAAACTGTCGGACGTGGTTGTATGCTCAAAATTGCGCCAATATTTATCGAACTCCTCGAAGATTTTCGAGCGGAAGGGCGAGCTGGCGAACAGCTCATCGAAATTTCTATGGAAATTGACCAAAAATGGCGAAGACGATGGCGAAGGCGATGCTGGCGCTGCTCGGCCAGAGCTTGATTTGGATCTGGATTCGTTTTCTATATGGCTACTCGTGGCTGACGTTGTTTCTGTTGTACTGTTGTTGTTGCTACTGAAGTTGTTGGTGTTTTCGTTGTTTTCATTGTTGTTGTTGTTGGTTGCTGTTTTATCATTGTCTGTGTGAGGGCGGCGGTAGAGAGAAATTTTGATATACAAAAGAGCGACACACACAGAGAGAGAGACACACAGATATAGAGTGTGAGTGCGAGTGAGAGTGAGAAGGAGAAGGAAAAGACAGAGAGAGAACGAGTTGCTACAACAACAATAAACACATATATTTACAATATGTTTGTGAGATGAGAGAGTGTATGTACTAAATGACCTTTCACCAATGAGTTAAAAAATATATGAGTACACTCAGAAAAAAATGTGTTTCCTAGATTGAATTGAAGTATAAACAATATATGCTAAGCGCATGTTTGAGTTTTCTTTCTTAGCTAAATTTAAAAGAACCATTTTTCTTCCACAACTTTTTAAAATATAATTTTTATGTTTTTTTTTTTAAATGGTTGGAACAGCCAAAAAATGAAACAACATTTTAAATTAGTTAGGCAACATCAAATACAATTCTTTAAAAATGTTATTAATTTCTTTGAGAATTTTTTTTGTGTTTTAGTTACGTTGTAATCTAAATTCAGAAATTAATTAGAAACCAAAAGGAACTTTTAGTTGCAGCGAAAAAGAAAACTTGGAATACTTCCAAAATATTCTTCTTTCTTAAAAAGAACTGGTAGTTCCAGTGGAAAATAAATTTAAAAACTAGTTTTTGGAATATTTCCAGTTTCATTTTCTTGAAATTTACTGAATTTTCCGATGAAATGCAATTTTTATTGTAACACTAATTGGAACTAGTTGTTCAAAAAAAAACCTAGCTGGTTTTGCAGAGATTTCATTGCGAAATGGGAAATCAGAATGTGGCTTAATAAGTCAAATCTAGAATACACATTTTCTGAGAGTGCAAAAGAGTGGGCATTTAGCTGAACTTGTTCCAGGCCGTAAGAACGGACAGGCCAAGTAGCAGAGCGGTGCCCAAGATACTGCCAGCTATCGAGGTGGAGGATGAATTGGTTGTATTATTGTTGCTATCGACTGGGCTACGGGGAATGGGCGTTGGACTGGTGGATGAGTTGGGGGGTGAAGAGGAGGTATTGGAGTTGGAGTGGGAGCTGTGGGAGGAACAGGAACCTTTGGAAGCGGAACCACAACCAGTGTCAGGCGTTGGGGAACGGCAGGAGCTAGTTACAGAAGCGTTGCCTAGTTGCAGATTATGACTAACGAGTCGCGCGGTATTCGATCGATAACGATAACGATTGGCAGCCGGCAGCGTCGCTCTCGGCTTGTCCGTGGCAAACTCACCCTGCACAGAAGGCGGCAACCGGGACACCTTGTACGTCTTCACAATGGTCGACTTCTTGCTGGCGCTGCTTAGCGAATTGTCCGTTGCGGTCTCGCTGCGCTCCTGCTGCTCGTGCCGCTCCACTTGACCAGATGACTGGGCGTCACCTTTCAGCTGCTCGCAGCTGCTGAACTTGGCGAATTCGCGCAGATGGCGCGGCAGCTCGCGCAAATTCGCCTCGGCCTGACCCTCCAGAATGCGCACGGGCGTCGGCGCCTCCGCATCCGATTCACTGCCCGCTGCCGCCGCCGCTTTGGCGGGTGCTGGTTGCGACTCGGCGCCGCTCTCCCAGTCGCTGTCCGCGGGCATGGAGAGCTTGTGGCGGCGCTCCTTGACGCGATTGAGAAACTCATCGCTTATGTTGGCCTGCTGCTCGGTGGCGTGCTGCTGCTCGTCCTCGATCTTGGATATCTTGATGATCTTGTGCTGGCGCCGCTCCTCGCGCTCGGCCACCTTGTTCATCCACTCCTCGGCCATTTGCTGGCGGAACACCTCATCCTCGCTGAGCGTGGGCAGCTTGGGCGCTGGCCGGTAGCTCTCGCGACGCGGCGGCGGCGCCTGCAGTACCGTGGGCGCCCGCTGCATCTCCTCCATCAGCCGGCGGCGCTCCTGCTGCAGCCGCTCGAACTCTAGCTTCAGCTGCTCCTCCTTGCTCAGTATATACTTGAGCTGCTGCTCGTGCAGCTCGCGCGGCAACGAGGCGCGTCTCTCCCGCTGCCTGTCGTACGCCGGCGGCTGTCCCGGCTGCGGGGTAACGGGCGTGGACACCGGCGCCGGCGACACGCCACGCCTCGAGGTGGTGCTAATGTACGTGGGATTCGGATCCCGCTCGATCATCGAGTAGCAGCTGGCATAGTGCGGCCGCTGCTGCTGCGGCGCCTGCTGCAGCATGGGCGCATGCCGGCGCCCGCCTCCGTACGCATTGAAGCTATCGTAGCAGCTGCTGCTGGACAGATCGTTCGTGCTGGCCGAGAGGCGTGGCGCGCGAATCGAGTGCGGCTGCCGCTGGTTCTGGCGCTGATAGCAAATCTCCACCTCGCGCGCAAATGGACGCGCTATATTCTCCGAGTAGCCCAAATCGCTGGCATAGTGCGCCCAATCATCCTGCTGCATCGCCTCGGTGGGCACTCGGTAGTGCTCCGCGGAGCTGTGGGGCCGCGCCGGCTCGTTCAGATTGCACAGCGATTCGGCGCGACGAGCGCGCTCGTAATCGGGCGCCAGTTGAATGGGTATCTCAACGGCACGCGGCACCGAGGACAGCCGCTCCTGGCGTGATCTGGCCGAGCGTTCAATTTCACGCTCCAGCTCCTGCATGTGGGCGTGCCGCTCACGCTTCAGCTGCTCCAGTTGGCAGCTGTTATTGTTGTTGCTGTTGGTGAGGCGACTGAGATCGTAGAGCGAGGCGGATTTGTCGCGCTGCTGTCGCTGCTCACGGCCCGTTTGCAGCTCGGCATTCAGCTGCTGGGACAAAACATCAAAGTCCTTGAAGAGCTTTTCATTATCCAAGTGATTGCCCGTCGAAGGTTGCCCGTTGCCGTTGCCGTTGGGCTGAGCAATTGCGTCGAGCGCTGCTTTGGCACGTTGCCGAAATTCCTCATAAGTGCCGCTGCTGCTGCTGCTGTTCACCTTGGCGCCAGTTGTTGTTGTTGTTGTTGTTGTTTGTTCTCTGTGCTGCCTGCTCTCTGGGAGCAACTGTTGCTGCTGTGCGTCATCATTGAAAGTGTTTGACATGCCATTTAATTTCGTTGCTGACATCATATTTGCCGCTGCCGGCGGCGGTGGCACTGGCGGTGCACAGTCCACCTCATCCGCCGCCGCCTGCCGCACAGGTATCTGATGCACCTGCGGCACCTGCTGCTGCACCTCGCGCACCGGAAATTTCCCATTTGCCGTGGGGGTGTCACCAGCAGGCTCCTGCTGCTGCTGCTGCTCGCGACTGCTGTTGCTGTAGTCGTAGATCACCTGGCCGTTCTCCACACGCTTCTTGGACTCAAAGGAGCTGGTCTCAATGTTCGAGTAACGTTTGCTATGCTGCGGCTTCGGCTGCCCGCTCTGCTCAATGTTGGAGAAACGCTTGCGCTGCTCGTCAAAGATGTCGCCCTGCTGGGCCATGCTGGGGAACATGCGCGCCAATTCGCTCTCCATGCTGGCTGGAAATTTGCTGCTGCTGTTGTTGCTGCTGCTTTTAATGTTGCTGCTGTGGCTCATGTAGCTGCTGTTGCTGTTGCTGCTGTGTTTGCTCTGCTGTTGCTGCTCGACTGTGCGCTGGTCAAATGCGTACGGCAACTGCGGATCAGCTGCTGCTGCTGCTGTTGGTTTATTTTCAAATGATGATGTCGCTGGCATTGTTGCTGCTGAGTTTGCCTTTTGGCTTACGTCATCTGCCTGTTGCTGCTGTTGCTGCGCTGCTTGGCTCTTTGCCTTGGCCGCCGTCTCGGCGCTCTTCACAGGCACCGGCGGCGGCGGCGGCGTTGTCGCTGTGGGCGTTAGACTCTTGCGCAATTCGCGCATCTTGGCCGCCGTTTTGAGTATCTGCTCCTGTTCGGCATTCATTTGTGCGCTGTCCATGGCACGCACCTGTTCAGCGCTCAGCTCGTGATAGCCGCGACGCTGCACGAACTTCTCGTGTGCGTCCAGCAGCTGATCGGCCGCTGGCTGCAACTGTTGCTGCTGTGTCAGCGCACGCTGCGCAGGCGACAGGCACACCAGCAGCTGGGGATCCTTCTGCGTGGGCAAGCCCAACCAGGCATCCTTCTCGCCCGCGGCCTGGTCCAGCGAGAGCTGCAGCTCGCCGATGTGCGGCAACTGGGGCATAGGATAAGGCATGTTGTCCACTTGTTGTTGCTGCTGCTGTTGCTGCTGCTGTTCGGTTATGTTTTGGGCAACGCTGGCAAGCTCTTCAAGCATCTGCTCGCCATAAGGCATGGAGGCCAAGGTCTCGGTGCATAGCAAACGCAATTTCTTGATGCACTCCGCTTCCGTTTCCGCTGCTGAAATAGGGGAAATAGCTGGTTGCTGCTGTTGCTGCTGCTGTCGCAAGGGAGGTGTGGGGGGTTGCTGTTGCGGGGTTGGTGAGGCCACGTGTATGGCAGTGCATTGGCTGTGCTGTGTGCTGTCCGAGCAGTGCGAATCATTCGACTCTTGACGCTTGAGCAACAAGGGGTTAAGGATTGGATGCTGGGCGGTGCTGGTGGCGGGATAGTGCATGCTGCTTGGGGGCGGTGGCACAGGCGGGGGCGTGGGTGATAACCTACAGCGCAATTCGTTTGGCTGCTGCCGCTGCTGCTCCGGAGCAGCTGGCGCGTTCTCGTTAACGTTTCCGTTTCCGTTTACATTCCCGATTTCGCGTCGCGTCATTTCGATCAATTCGCGCACTTTTTCCATGTTGCGAACGAATTCCTCGCGCGTTGCCGCCAGCGAAGTGGTTGCAGTTGAACTGTTGGCCAATTTGTTCGGGCTAAATTCGTTGGCCAACAATGTCGAATGTTGATTCGCTTCTCTTGGCAGCTCATTTAATGCCGGCGTGGGCGTCGCTGTCGGCGTCAGCGTCGCGGCACTAAGCAGCGATGATAGCGAACTGCTGCCCGGCGATGTCGGCTCCGTCGGGGGATGAGCGTTAACAGGTGTGCTCTCGCGGCTCGATTGGTCGGCGGCAGTTGTTGCCTCTGTTTCCGTGTCCACTTCCGTTTCAACCTGCAATTGTTGTTGTTTCTTTTGGTTCTTGGTATTCGTGTTGTTGTGATTGTTGTTGTTTTAGTATTGTTACACAATAGTATAAGTATGTGAATCTAGCATAAACATGGCCTACTTTAAGTTTATTGCGCACTCAACCGACCCCAAATACTAGCCAGAGATCTTGGACCTTCAACCAATATTAATATTCTCTTAACTCTTGCTAATCACAGAGATACAAACAACATTAAATGATTCCTAACCGAAAACCCACAAGAACTTTTCAGACACAATCCGAAAAACACTGCAAAAGTATTTATTCAACTTAAATACTTTTTTTTAGCCCTTCGCATTGAAAATTTATACTTTGCCACAGCGCAGAAAACTTTCGCAGAACTTCTATCGGTTATCGCTTTCTTATCACTTTTTTAACTTCCACTGAAAACTAACTGCAACGTTTTTACGAAACGGAAAAGCGTTTTGTTTTGTTAGCAAGAAACATATTGTAAGAAATATATGCCTTTGTTAACAACAACATTTTTGCTATCTCCAAGTTTTTTATATGAAATGTAGTTGGCTGAGCATTTAAAATGTTCGCACCTTGCTGCTAAATATATGACATGATGTTGCAAGCAGCCACCAAATTGCTTAAAATCCTGCTGTTAAACAATGTACAGGTTTTTAAACAAATATATATATATTTTATTATTACTTTGATTGTAGCTTAAGACTTTATCATGAAGAAAACAATGTGAAGAATTATTAAATGGAGGTTTCTTCATAAACTTAATTAAAATAATTTGTACTCCTTTCTTATTAAATATACCTCCAAAGCAGAAGAAACTAATCATCTTAAATTAATAACTCGTCTGATTGCCACCCATATTCCCTTTTCCCTCCACTCGAACTAAACCTCCTGCTACTCCTATGGTTAGTTGGTTAGTACTGCGCTACGAACCTCGCACTCGCCCTCGGTTTCCGTTTCATTGGACGAGCTGATCGGCTCCGTGGTTGTTGTGCTGCTCAGGTCGTCGTCGGGTCGATTGATCAGCCGGCTGGCATCCGTGTCCAGATCGCTGAGGGCGCGTTTGGCCAGGGCAGCTGCCTCTTCGAGCTCGAGTTCCATTAGATCCGAGACGCTGCTGGAGCCGGACGAGCTGAGGTAAACCAATTCCGCGTCCTCGGACTGCGGCGACAATGTGCTCTGTAGACGCGTGCAGCTCTCCAAATCGCTGGGCTGCTCGAGCAGCTTTGTCTCCAGCATGAGAGCCAGCGGCTCTTCGCGACGCTTGTGCCGGCGACTGAAGTCGAGTTGGCTGCGCGGAAACGCTTCGTTCGCCTTCGCTGGCAGCGGTGAGCGCGTCTTCGCCGGATCATTGCCGGAGGAGGAGGCGGAGGCACTGCGACTCAGGCTGGCATCGCCACCCGCTGCTGCTGCCTCGCTATTCTCCTCCAGAATGCTGTCCAGATAGCGCGGACTGAGCAGCTGCGGCAGAAAGTGCGATTCGAGTGCATTGCGTTTCTGGGCGCGCTTTTGGCGCAGCTGCTCCTGTTGCTCGGCGCGGCTGCTGGACGGCAAATCCGCCGAAGACGCCAACACAGCAACGGGCGCAATCGTAGCCGTCGGCGTGCTCGCCTCCGTCTCCGAATCCGCTTCAAATACAACTGGCGATTGCAGCGGCCCATTGAACTCACCGGAGCTGCAATCGCTGCTCAGCTCCAGCTCCTGAATTTGCACATCGCGCGCGAATTTACTAAACTGTTGCACGGCCTTCGGCGAGGGCGATTCGACCAGGTAACGCGGCGGCGGTGACAAGGTGCCGCTGTTGTTATTGCTGCTGCTGCTGTTGGTGCTGTGTGCGGTTGTTGTTGCTGTGGTGCTGCTGATCTCCTCAATTGTGGGCTTACCTTTGCGAGCGCGTTCCTCCTCATCCGTTTCGAGGCGTATCTGATGTATGATGACTTTGGTGCTGCGTTGCAGCGGCTGCTTTGTGGCATGTTGTGGTGAACGCAGTTGTTGCTGCTGTGCATTGACCTGTTGCTGCTGTGTATCGATATGTTGCTGCTGAGCTAGCGGCTGTTGCAGCTGACAATTCGCCAGTAATTCTTGCACAGCTGCTGGCAAATGTTTCTCTGTTTGTGTTTCCTGCTGCTGTTGTTGCGCCTGCTGCTGCTCCTGCTGTTGCTGATGTGCATCTACTTCATCATTGCTCTCGCGCACTATGCGATGCACTATGACCTTGGCCTGACGTGGACTGCCTGGTGGCTTTGCTGCCTGCAATTGCTGTTGCTCCTGTGACAATTCTGTCTCTTGCTGTAGTTGCTCCCGCTGCTGCTTGGAGTTTTTGGCACCCATTGCATCTGATTGCGTTTGTATGACTGCTTCGTGTTTGTTTTCCTTTTCGACTATCACAGGCACTATGTGAACCACTGCCTGTTTCTTTAACTGATCTTCAGACTGATATACTGGCTGGTCGGAGGGTTTCTTTGCTCTATTCAAATCCCCTTTCAGATCTTTTGTCTGCGCTTCCGAATGAATTTCTATCAGATGTTCCCTTGGCTGATCTATTGCTTGCTCATCTAGCTGATCAATAATCTTTTCTATTATTGGGTCCTCAACTAGATCTTTCTTGACCAGCTGTTCAATTCGGGGTTCTTCCGACTGTTGTCTTGGCAACTCTTGTGGCTGATTCTCAGACTGATCTTCAGGCTGACTTTCTGCTTGTGCAATCGACTGCTCTTCAGTGTATTCGACCAGCTTCTCTTTTGTAAGATGTTTAGACGGATCTTCTAGCTGCTCTTCAGATTGACATCCAGGCTGATCTTTTAATTGTTGGACAATCTCCACTTTTGTCTGATCTACAGGCTGATCGATGGCCTTCTCTTTTGTCTGATCTTCAGACAGATCTGCCAGCTGATCTGTAGATTGATATTGGGGCTGTTTGACAGGCTTTTCCTCTGTCTGATCTTCTAACTGATCGATCAGTTTACCTTTTGTCTGATCATCAGATACTCCAGATTGAACTGCAGGCAGATCTTCTAACTGCTTAACAAGCTTCTCTTTTGTTTGATCTACAGGCTGATCGATGGGCTTTTCTGTTGTCTGATCTTCAGACAGATTTTCCAGCTGATCTTCAGATTGATGTTTGTGCTGGTCTTCCAAATGTTGAAGAAGCTTCTCTTTTGTCTGAACTGTAGGCTGATCTTTAAGCTTCTCTTCTGCCTGAAGTTCACACAGATCTTCCAACTGATCCTCAGATTGATATTTGTGCTGATCTTCCGAATGTTGAAGAAGCTTCTCTTTTGTCTGAACTGTAGGCTGATCTTCTAATTGATCGACCAGCTTTTCTTCTGCCTGATCTTTAGACGAATGATCTTTTGCTGCAATATGCTGCTCTTTGGACTGATCTCTTGACTGATCCTCTTGTTGCACCTCTGACTGTTCTTCTGGCTCTTTCTGGCTGTCCTCTCTGCTGGCTATGCGCGTGGTTGATTCATCAGCAGCTGTGAGGCTGTCACTGGCTGTGGTTGACCCATTTGAAATGCTGCCAGAATTTGCATTATTATCATGCTGATGATCATTAGCTGCTGTTAATGATGATGAAGTTGTTGCTGCTGCCGCTGTTGCCTCCTCCTGCTGCTCTCGCTCCTCTGTCGCTGCCCCCTCCGCCGCCGCCGCTTGCTGTTTATTTTGATTTGCGTTTTGATTTTTATTGCGCTTATTACGATTACGATTGCGATTACGATTACGATTATTTGGCATCGTCTACGTCGCGTCTAAGCCTGGGAAACTGTTGCACTCGAAACGGAACCCACACTTAAAGTCTCTTTGTATATATATATATATGTATATGTGTGAGTTTGTGTGTGTGTGTGTGTGTGTGTGCTTGATTTGTTGTGCCTGGCTGCTGCAGTTTGTGTCTGGCTATTACGCATACGCCGCGTTTGCCGCTTTCAATCAGCTAAATCTAAAAATTGCTTTAATTCGTGTGCTTTTTGCTTTTGTTTTTTATTATTGCTCGTTTATTGTCGTCTTTTGTCGTCGTCGTTTAGGGATTTCTCTCTTTCTCTGTGTCACTCGTCGCTGGCAGAAACACAACTAAAACTGAAAAACTGAACCATACGGCGCCGTCAGCCGATCAACCAAAACGACGAGCCGGCATTTTAAGCAGCGTCGACACCAGCTGCGACGCCAGCTGCGACGTCAACGGCGACTGCGACGCTCAGCCGCCCGGCACAAGTTTGACACGCGTCCGGCGCTGCACAAATTTTGATATACAGATATATATATATATATATATCATGCGTATATATATATATATTCATATATCTATAGATATAAAACACGCAAAAAAAGAATATTTTTGATTTGACGTTTTTACGTTTTAGTTTTCAACTTTCGCTCTCAACGCGTCCGATTTGTGTGTTCCCGACTTTTTCGTTTTTCCTCAGAGATTTTTCTGACAAGATTTTCTTTCGACTTGTTTTGCGCGCTCGCGTTCCCGTTTCTTCTGCTGGCGGCGACTGGCGACCAAGGAATGGGCCATGGGCTGCTCCCAGCTGCCAGGCGGGCCACACAAATCAGTTGCACATAGGCACGTAATGAACAAAAAAAAATAGAAGAAAACTAAAAAAATGCCCACAACAAGAGCAACAACAACAACAACAATATGGGGCATTCATAATGAGGCTCGTCTGATGATCATTTTAAAAATACATAAGGCGCTGTCTGTAGAATTGTAAAGAGCGCAACACATTTGCCTCAAGTAGTGGGAGTTCTTTTGGGATGGGGGCGTGGCAATTGGAGGAGTCGTGTGTGTTAAGTGCAGAGCAAATAAGCAAACGTGCTGTGCAGTGTATTCAAAGTTGTTGTCGCTGTTGTCTCTCTGGAGCTACTCAAACATAAACAAACAACAAGGCAAGCAAAATCAAGTCCAAGTCAAGTCAAGTTCTCCGGATTTGAGGCACACGCGAAAGTCAAACAAAAATGTTGCATAAATTTAATTTATATATATATACGTATATATATTAGCTAGATATATGTATATAGTATATTGCCCGTGGTTATAAACAAAATCGAAACTGAGTTGTTTAGAGAATGCTTCTATTTTTCGGCTGCAAATAATGTCATCTTTAATTATATTCTTGGCTACGTTGAAATTTCTGCAAGCAATTTTAATGTTTTTATTTATGCAATGAATGCCAAAAAAATGAAGAACCCAACTTTGAGATGTTTGAACTTTGAAATAAACAAATAAATTGCTACGCTAAAGGAAGGCAAATATTGAAATGTTTTTATTTTATTTATTTTTTGTTTTTACTTTGCATGTGCTACAAATAGTCATTCAATAATTGAAAAGAAATATACACAATATGTATATTATTAAATAATTTATATTCATGCTCGCAGTTTAGATAGACAACATTTTTTTTTAAATTTTATTTCATAAATTTTGTGAAGAAATATTTAATTATCCGCTGATCACATTTTAATAATAAATGCAATAAATAATTTAAATTTACGCAACTCAAAATGTGGGGTCTGTTCTTAAGATTTATAAAGACACTAATTAAAAGTTGATATATCTTTTATTATCAAATGATATTTAAAACTTGTTGAAAAATTAAAAAAGACAACCCAACTTCCTTTCTTTATATAAAAATTTGTTTAATATATATCTCAATTAAACTTGAAAAATATGTATTATCAAGCTTTTTTTTAACGATAATTTAGCATTTTTTCCGACTTTATAAACCTCGAATTTTATTTATTATCTTTTGTATTTTTGTTTTAATTTCATTCAATTATGTCTATTTAAAGTCATTCAAACTGTTGTTGAATTAAAACACAAAGAATGTTTATTTCTTGAATCAATTTGTCTACTTTCAATCCCCCTCCCCTCCCGCTTCAGGCCGCGCCCACCCACAGCCCACCTCAGGCAATATGCCCAAACAAATCGCTTACAACGCATTTAAATAACACACAGCACACACACGCGACTGCAGTCAAGTGTGTGTGTGTGTGTGCGTGTGTGTGTGTGTGTATCTGTATCTATGGCATTTTCAAGATATCTTTCGTGCGTAATTTCTTTTTCGATTTGTTTTCTCTGATTTTGTTTTTAGCTTTGCTACAATTTTGTATTCTTTTGTCTGCAGTCTCCGGTCCCCGATCTCAGTTCTCTGTTCCCCCGATTTTTTGGGGTGTCTACACTTGAATAATTTTTACGAGTTGAAATTGAAGCACTTTTTCCGTCTGACAAGTGTGCCGGCTCATATGTATATGTATTATAGTATATATGGATACATATCTGTATATATATATCTTCTACTGGGCCATGCGGTTAGTAGTCGTTGATTTATTTTTAAAAGTACTTAATGGATTTCAATTTCTTGACTTTCTCTGGCTTCGGCTACCTCAGCTGCTTCTTCATTCAATTCGTCATGCTGATCGTGGGGCGCAAATAGATCTGTGAGGCCTTTCCCGTTCCTGTCAGGTGCCAGACAAGTGTGAAATGTGCACGTGATGCAAATGAACTGCATTGGGGCTGGGGCTGGGGGCTGGGGGCTGGGGACGACAAGGGTGCACCGAGATTATGCAACAGTTGTGTGTGTGTGACACGACTTCTAGAGGGCTTAGGTAATTCACAGCTAAAAACAACAATTAAAGGCAGAAGAGAAGAAAAGCACAGTGAAGCACACTTAACATTTGCTGCCTAATTAAAAACCTATTAAAACGGCAATTTCCTCTGTGCTAGACAGACATTAAAAGTCTAAGAAACGCCTGAACACCAGGCTATATACATCTCTCTCTCTCTCTCTCTCTCTCTCTCTCTCTCTCTCTCTCTCTCTCTCTCTCTCTCTCTCTCTCTCTTGCTCTGTATCTTTCTTACATTATTCTAATACTTTTTCTGTCTCTATCTCTCGGCACTTATTCAGTTTATTTAATTTGGTTTCGCTTCTGTTGCTTTAATTTTTGTGGTCTCTAAATTGCCTATAGTATTATCATATTATACTCTATTAAAAAGCATCGTTAACTGTCTTTAAAAGCACCTGAGCACTAAGTTAGAGCATTTTTTTCTATCTTACGCAACATCGATAACAACAACAACAATTACCACTTATTGCAATAGATATGCATTTCGTTTTGTACATTTTTTTGGAGTTATCTTTCAATGCTGATAAAAACGAGTTTCTGATTGTTTCGCCGAATCGAAATTAGGTTTCCCGTGTTGAAATTGGGTTTCTACCCCAATTCGTTCGATATGTTTAAAATCGCTTCACTTAATGCAATTTGTAATCCAAATTAAAGAACTTTTAAAGTGCATTAAATGTAGTTAAACAAACAATTATTTTATGTTAATATGCTTGTGACATTGTCAAAGATCATTTGTTTATTTTTCAATTTATTTTTTAAGAGCGAATTAATCGATTGTATTTATTATTATGCATGTAGAATATATAATTTAGTTAATGCGTTTGCTTGCTACGATAATGAACTCTCAATCTTCAAATAAAATAAAATATGAACAACTTTTCAACATGTTTAAAAGTTGTATACATTTTTAATATAGACTGCATCTTTATATATAATATTTTTGTCTATAAAAGTTAATATATATAAAGGTTTTCAAATGCTTTTGTGCTAAAAATATTGTATTGAATAAAAATGTGAATTTTTCTAGTTATTAAAATCGATGAAATAATCTCTAACAATTGATTATTAATATTCCAGTTTTTTGTTGCTTTTTTCGTTATTATTACTTAGAATAGATTAATTTAGTTTGAATTGCTCACAATATCTCGCTTTTTCTTTAAATTTTACAGGGGCTTGCCTAAAGTCAACACAGCCTATTGATTTTATATTCTCTTTTGCTTTGGCTTTGGTTTTTGTTATTGTTGTTGCCGCTTTTGTTGCTAATTAGCATAGATTTTAAACGCTGCTTTTAAGCATTTGTTTTATGTTGTTGTTGTTGCTGCTGCCTCTTCATTTGCCTACACTTTTGGTGCTGCAGTTATTGCTGTCGTTGTTTTTGTGCTTGTTGTTTTTCTGTTTACGTATGCGTAATTTATTTGGGCAACATGCTGCATGCTTTTCCTCTGTCTCTCTCCCTCTCTCCTTCTGCTACTCTTGCTCACTTTATTTGTTTTTTACACAGCTTACACACATACAGACACACTAACACACAGTTGTAATACAAACAAAATAGTTAGTTAATTAATTTATGGCTCGCGCGCTCATTTCTGCAGCCACCCACCAACAGCGACGTCGGCGTCGACGTCGACGACGACGTCAGCGCTGACGTCACAGCTGCGCTGCCTGCGCTCGCTGTGAGGTCAACGTGAGGCGGCAAATTACAAAAGCAACCAAGAACCAAAGCGGCGCACTTAGCGCTCAATTAATTGCAAATTCGTCGGTTTATATCAAAGACACTGTCCCACGGTCCCGCAGTCCCACAGTGCACTGTCTTTTGGCTTTCTGTGTGCCGCGTTCTTCAGTGCAACGCGTACGTGCGCCAACTGAAATGTTGAATCTGAATCTGCATTGAAATCTCCGAATCCCAAAAACAACACGATATGCGGCGAGTGCGCCCAATTGGGCCCGTGGGGCGGGTCAACGACTGCGCACAGTGTGGCCAACTAGATTTGTATCTGCTCGAAAAGCCGCACATATATATATATATCATTTGGCTTGTCTTATCTTCCGTTCGAAGAGAACTACAGAACTAGAACTTAGCATAATAAATTTGCTAAGTGGCTAAAAATCGAAGCATGATCTCAGCGCTGCGAGTGTTAAACCTGACGCCTAATTGCAATTTCGTAAGGCGCAAAAGTTTTCTTATTAGCTGCAAGGTCACACAGAGACCATGAACCCATTACACCAGCCCACCGCAGCCCCTACCGAATAAACAAACACATTAAAGCCAAAAACTTTGACGCATTGCGTCAGACCAAAATGTGCTCCTACTTTGTTTTTACAGTTACAGGCAAAAACATACACACACAAACACAAGTGCACACGCTTTTAGTTATGCTATAAATAGCAACAGTTTCGTATACCAACAACGGTATTGTGTAGCGCAGTGTAATTGCTTTGTTTTCTGTCTTTCTTTCGTTTGTTTTGTCGGAACGCGCTCGCGATCGCACAACGTCAAAGTCGAAGTTCTAATGGCAACTGAAGCTTCGCAAGCTTCACACAGCGCGTCAGCGACAACCGACAACAGCAACAACAACAACAGCAACAACAACTGAGAACAACAACAACTGAGAACAACAACAACAATTGAGAACAACACTT